CTGACTTACACATTTTCATGGGTGTGTTTAGTTTTAGAATAAGAGATCAAGGGAAAATCCCCACTGACTAGTTTGCTCTTTTCCAGATTGGTGTGGTAAAAGGGAGTACAGAATGATGCTGACAAGATTTTATTTCAGTTATAATTGTTAGTAGTATTGTGATTGTCAAAACTGTAATTGTAGAAGATATGTAGTTAAAAGGAGGGTATAGTTACCTCTTATTTCAGGAACAGACAAGCCCAAGACCATCAAGAAGGAAGAGCATGAGTGGAGCTTTGGATCCCTGCCTGAAAAAGCAGTGACATCAGAGATAGTGGCAGAGGTGGTGACATAGAGCAACTAAGGACTCTAGGCCCATGGACTGAATGAGGCTGTGTGCCTACCTGCTGGAGACAGACTTTTAGACATTTATGAGTGCACCAAATATTTCTGCTTTGTGTGTGAAATATAAGAGGAAAATGGGGCTGATGCATTTTCAGTTGTACATGTTTTAGTTCAGGCACAAGTATAATACCTAATATAGGTATGGAGAGCTAGTGTGGTGCTGTGGGTTAATGCGCCAGACTGTAAAACTGTTTGAACTATTCCTCAGAAACCCTATACTGGGTCACTATGGGTTGGAATTGACTCTACGGCACTTAACAACAACAATATGTTGTTGTTATGTGCCGTGGAGTCGGTTCTGACTCATAGCGCCCCTGTACAGGCTTTCCGAGGCTGTAAATCTTTACGGGAGCAGAAAGCCTCATCTTTCTTCCACGGAACAGCTGGTAGTTTCGAACTGCTGACCGTGAGATTAGCAGCCTGATTCGTAACCACTACGCTACCAGAGCTCCTTAACAACAATGTAGGTGTAGTTATATCTACTCTTAGGGACATCCAGAAATGATACACTTTATGAGGATCCAAGAAGAATAAATGAAGATGAGAACAATAAATGTAAAGAGAAAAGAGGATTTGTGAGAATTTCTCAAAATGGTCCATATTTGGGAATAAAGGGCACATGGGATTGCTAGACCTGACATAGGTTGTTAATTCACACTCAGGGATATGTAAGCAGGGTGAGTTAGGGGAGGAGGTAAGAAATCTGTTCTAGGACCAGTAACTAATTAAATGAAAATACAGTTATTAGGCCATGGGTACCAGCCGGGCTAGATTGTGAACTGCATGCTAAATGGGGGAGGGAAAATATAAATAAAACTCTCTGCGAGCTGGCCATGCAGAGGGTTTGCCCATGTCTACTGAGTTGGGTACCCAGTTTTGCAAAATCGAATAAACAAAACCTCACTCTTGCTAAAATGAGTACAGATTGGGTTTCTTTAGCATTAATCGGTATTGACGTTTCTCACAGTGCGGAACTGGGCAGTGTTTAGTTCTGTTATACATAGGGTCACTATGAGTTTGAACCAACTTGACAACACTTAGCAACAACAAGACAATAGGACACTTATTGGAACTCATATCATCAAAATTTTCCAAAAGGCTACTCTGTAGAGATGAGAGCAGATTAACAGTTGTGGGGTTGGTAATGGAGATTGAGGGTAAGATTGATGACAGAGGCCTGAGGAAGCTTGTGTTGTAATAAAAATATTGTTTTTAATCTTGATTGTGCCAATGGCTTCACAGGTGAACACTTGTGTCAGAACTCAACAAATGATCCACTTTAAATATTGGCAGTTTGTTGTAAATCAGTTATATATATAAAAGTTAGTGAAATGTAATAAAATCATGTAGTTATTATGGTGATTAAAAAAAATTCCGAATAGTGAAGCTTAATTTGCTATTTAAATAACCTAATTCATACAAAAGTGTGCAGTTGCAAACCTTTTGCTCATGATTGTGGTTTCTCTAATATTCAAGAAGATACTGGGAGGGATTTTAGGTTGTGGCGCCACAGAATAAGCACTTGACCTCAAGGTCGGTTTGAACTGCAAGGTCAGTGGTTCATACCCACCAGCTGCTCCTCAGAATAATTTGTCAGAATTTCAACTTGAGTGTTGTTGTGTTGTGTTGAGTTTATTCCAACTCATAGTGACCCTGTATAGGGTTTCTAAGAACAGTTGGTAGGTTTGAACCGTCAACCTTTTGGGTAGCTGTAGAAACATTTACATTTTAAGAGGTTTGCTGCAGTTTTGCAAAATGAATACACTTGTGACTTTAACGTAGATCAAAAAACAGAACACTACATGCAACTGGTAATTAAAAAAATATAACTTGCTGAGCTCGTACAGTAAAACTGAACATATGTTGCATGACCATGCAAAGGCAATTTCCAGTTTTGAAAAAGTTCTGATAATGGCATTACATATTATACAAAAGCTGTTCTATTTACTTGTGTATGTATAAATATAATTTATATTTTGCTTAATATATTTCCTCTTAACAGTGGACTCTCAGAAGATTGACCAGGAGGGGAAAGTCCCAAAAGAAACTTTTAAAAAATTGAAGAGTCTAGGACTTTTTGGAATGCAGATCCCAGAAGAATATGGTAAGTAGGAAAAGCAACACCCAACTGATTTGGCTCTTTAAGAAAGCACTCTGTCAGAAACAGTTTATACATGGGGAAAGGTAACATAAATACAGTATGTCAAGTCAGCTGTAAAACGTCTGGAATTAAAGTCAGGTGTGGGCTCAATGTGGGATGAGATGACTAGCTGGAGTCTAGGCTGAGCACACGACCCACCTGGCGGGAGAGCTGTTGAGCTCTGGACTTGCTTCACCTGCGGTGGTTCCTACGCATAGTGAAGGGACTGTAACTGATCTCAAAGTGGCTTTGGCTGATTTCAGTCTTTCTCACTGTAAAGATCGCTTGTAGGTAAGTGCCGTGGAGTGGGCTCCGACTCCTAGTGACCCTGTATAGGGTTTCTGAAGAGCAGCTGGTAGGTTTGAGCCACCAACTTTGTGGTTAGCCCCACACTACTAGTCCAAGAGCAGCTAGCGTTGTATGTTGGAGGAAGGACTGTGTGGTTAGAGTCTATATGTTGAACTTCAGGGCTTGCCAGGTCCGACTTCTCACCCCAGGTTCATCAGAAGCTGTTGTGCAGAGAGAGGTTGGCCTCGGAGAGATGAATAATAGGAGCCCCTCAGCAGGATTCTTTACCTTTTTGACTGTTTCTTTAAATCTTTAATGCCCCAAATGAAAGGTCTTACCTTTCTCCCCCATGTCCTAATTTAATTAGATTTGACCAGTTACTATAGCTTGTCTCTCTTTTGCTTAATCTAGAGTTGGTCATTGAAATTCTGTGGGCACAAAGTTAGGGAGGGGGGCTAGAAAGTGTTTCCGAGGGACAGATAACAATCACACTCTCTTTGTTTTTGCTCTCAAATCCTTTTACCCTAAAAGTCTGCCTCTGGGCTCTAAACTTTCACCCCGCATCCACCTCCCTGGACTCTTTTCTGTTTTCCAAGCCTTTGTTGGAACTACCTCTAAGTTTGTTAAGTTACCGATCACGGGGTTTAGGGGAGACGGCGTCAGGGGACACCCTGCACTCTGTCTTCTGGGCAGTGCAGCAGCTACAGGAGCAGTAGCCAAGCCCCCTAGTGTAGGGCGCAGCTCTGCTACTTGCTGGTTATATGACCTTAGACTGCAGGTTGCCATTTGTTTGTAAAGTAGACATTGGGCCACCTAGCCACCGCTGGAAGGATTGTGCAAAATACTCAAGTACAGTAGAGGTTATGGTTTGGTGTTTTTTCCCCCTCCCTCCTCATTGCTTGTCTTTTTATTTCTAAAATAGTAATTCTCAACTGGGGGTGATTTTGCCCTTGGGGAGTGATAGTGGAACATTTGGCCATGTCTGGAGACACTGGATTGGTGGTGGGCTTCTGGTATGTAGTGGGTAGAGGTTGGGGATACTGATAAACATCCTGCAATGCATAGGACATAGGGCACCCCCACATCAGAGAAACATCTGGTTGGAAACATCAGTGGTTGAGGCTGAGAAACCCTATCTTACGGTACACTAGCTAGTCCATTTTAACTACTCTGTGATGTAGCTGCTCTGTTTTTAAAAATATATACATTATTTCTGAAAAAAAGGTATTCATTCATAAAGTAATTGTATGTTTTTTATGTTAAGTTGTTATGTGCTGTAAAGTCGGTTCCAACTCATAGCAGCCCTGTGTAGGATTTCCGAGGCTGTAAGTATTTGAGGGAACAGAAAGTCTCATCTTTCTTGAACTGCAGACCTTGTGGTTCACACTCCAGTGCTTATTCTAAGGAGCCGCAGCGCTCCCGGATATGAAGATACGTATTTCTAAGTATGATTATTATATACCTATGTCTGAAAGGTTGTACAGAAAAATATTTGAGTGGTAAGATTATTGGTGATTTTTGTTTTCTTTGTACCTTTCTGTATTGTTTCCCCCCCCCCCCCCCCCCCGTAGTGTTCTGACAGAAAAACAGTTGTTTGTCTTTTGGGAGGGATTTTAGGTTGTGGCACCACAGGATAAGCACTTGACCTCAAGGTCAGTTTGAACTGCAAGGTCAGTGATTCAAACCCACAAGCTGCTCCTCAGAAATCCTAAACAAGGCTGCTAGGAGTCGAAACTGACTCGACAGCACTTTCAACAACAACAACATACTTAAAACTGTAGTCCTGATGTGGCGCTGTGGGATGGCACTTATGTTGTTAACAGCAAGGTACGAGGGTTCGTACCCACCAGGCTGTTCCTTGGAAACCATCGCTATGAATGGGAACCAACTCGACAGCACTTAACAATGACGTACTTAAAACTGTGTTTCTTCTCTTAGGTGGCCTGGGCCTCTCTAACACAATGTATGCGCGGTTAGGGGAAATCGTCGGTCTGGATGCATCTATTGCCGTAACGCTGGCAGCACACCAGGCTATAGGCCTCAAGGTCAAGTGTCTGGGGGGGATCCTGTTTGGTGCATTCTGAAGGTTGAGGCAAGAGGCTTGCTCACTTTTACAAGCAAGTGATTGGGTTCGTTATTACAGGGCTGTGGAGGAGAGCCCAGCCTGCTCCTTGTCCTCTCTCTGCAGCCCCTCACTCCTCACTCATACACACCCTCTCTCCATCCACCTAAACATGGCCTTCAGCTGTTCGCAAAGCAGTGGCCATTGATCATACTGTCCCACGTCTTGACTCCTCCCCACCCCATCCCCTTGATCCATCTAGCGTTCAGAGTCCCAGGTAGGTGTCCACTCAGGCTAACTGCAGGCCTTCCGTGTGACTTGTTGAGAAACTACGGGCTCTGGGGATAGTCTCCCTGCAGTTTGTGCACACGTGGTCTTCATCCCACTGGGCTTGGTGCATTCTTCGGCAGGGAGGAGTCACACAGCTCTTTCCCATTACACATCAGTGATTGCTGAATGAGCAACATACCCAGCTCCCTCACCCCAAAGCACGTATGTATTAGATGTTGGATTAGATGCGGTCATTTTGTGAAGAGTAGATCTGGCCAGGGAGGGGGTGATAGGTAAGTCCTGACTGGACTGAACACCTTCTTTTTGGATTTATTGTCCAGACCAGCCTCTCATAGATAGGATTCCCAGTTTGCCGATGTTGACGTAGAGGCTTGGCGGTCTGCCTCTTGAGGCCATACAGTCAGGAAATGGAGGGGTTGTGAAAATCCCGCTCTGCGGGTCCTCCAGGCCCACCCACACTGCCCGGTAGTGGGGTCGCCTTCGCAGACTACTGCTTCCCTTCTTACCTGAGGCTGGCAGCTCAGAGTTCATGGTCTTTTCTCTGCCTTAAATATTTTTTTTCAGTAGCGGGGAGATATTTTGCAAGCACGTTTCACATTCTCTTGCCTCTCCATACCTGAAATTGGTCTGTGTATGCTTTGTTTAGGGAATCATCATGACAGGAAATGAGGAACAGAAGGCCAAATACTTGCCCAAACTGGCACTGGGGGAACACATTGCAGCTTTCTGCCTTACGGAGCCTGCCAGGTCTGACCCTTGACTGGGAATGTCTCATACAAACAGCTTTTCACATGTTGAGGTTCCCTGGGATAAGAGGCTGTGGTTTTGTTAAGTAGGTGACTTCTGTTTTTCCTGTGTCTGCAATATTCCAAAGAATCTTAATAGCGCTCTTCATTTTCTGTCTTTGCCTCATATCTCTTTCCCTGTGAAATTTATAAACAAGATGGAAGGTCTGACAGTATATAATCAAGTGTTGGAACAAATCATGACGCACTGTAATGAACTCAGGTTTCAAAGCAACTTTTCAGAGTATGTCAAATGGGCAGTCTTGTCCCTGTTTTACAGATTAGGAACAGAATTTCTATGAGGTTGGATGATGAACCCAAGGTCACACAGCTAAGGAACCAGTCCATTACTTGGACCACACTTCGTCATGCTGGAAACCATCCTCCACAAAGGATTTATTACCTGTAGCTAGTTAGAAATTGGAATTGTTGGGTTTTCTTTCAGGAGTTGGGAACTTACTGGTATTCTTCATTCTGTTTCTTATATAACCCCTAAGAGCAGTACTGGAGTTGTTTCTAGATACCTTACGTTGCTAATTTAAAAAATAAAAGGCCAGGTACTTGCACATTTAGACCTTTTCGGGGTTGTGTCTTCCAATCCTTGTAGACTTTTGGTATTGTAGACTTGGGTTTAGATACTCTCCTCATTAGCTTCCGTACCACCTGATTGGGCATTTCCCTCATGGGTGCCTGAATTCATCCTTGAACACATCAGGTGAGCCCATTTTGAATACAAATCTCCATGTTTAAGCCTAAGCCAAGGTTCTGTTGTGTTTTAAAGCAGATATCTCCTGTCTGAACACAGATTAGTTAAATCTGGCCTGCTGCTTATTTTTGGTAAATAACATTTTATTGGTACAGCATCCACTTGTTTACAAATTTCCTACAGCTTCTTATACAGTAGCATCACTGAACAGTTGAAACAGACATCCTATACAGCCTGCAAAGCCATGTTCACTGTCTGGCCCTTTATTTATTGTCAGACTCTCAAAACTGTTCAAATTTATTCCCAGCATTATTTTCTCTCAATCAACCACATTTTGTCCCTGCAGTGGGAGTGATGCTGCATCTATCCGGACCAGAGCCACGTTAAGTGATGACAAGAAGCACTACATCCTCAACGGCTCCAAGGTACAGCTTCACAGCCTGCTCAGGATCTCAGTCATGGCTATAGTTACCGTTGATACTGACATGCACCAGGATTGAGGAGATGCACATGCTACCTCAGGACGACCCTAGGGGCTGCATGCCACTCCATGCTGCCATTGTAACATCCACCTCCCTCAGTTGATTTATGGTGTTTTTTTTTTTGTTTTCAGAAATTATTATTCAAAATCTCAAACATTCATAAAAATAGTTGTTACACTAGACCCATCACTACCCAGTTTTATCTGTTTTACTGTCTCATTCACTTGTGTCCTTTTTGTCACCATCCCTACGTCTGAGCCTCATCTGTAGCTCTTGTTGTTGTTAAGTGCCGTTGAGTCGATTCCAACCCATAGTAACCCTGTATAGGGTTTCCAAGGAGTAGCTGGTGAGCTTGAACCACTGACCTTGCAGTTCAAATGACTTTGCAGTCTGGCGCATTAGCCCACAGCGCCACACCAGGACTCTTAGTATCTTTAAAAAATGAAGACCATATTTTTAAGACAAAGCTATAATATATCCTTTCCACGTTAAAAAATTAAAATAAGTTCTTATAGTCTAGCAAGTGAATTCCTTATATTACAGTTTATTGAGAAGTCTCTTCTTTTTCCAACCTCCCTTTTTTCCATGTCCTTTCCTCCTTCACCCTCTTTCTTTCTCACCTTTGGCTGAGCTCCTCACCTGCGTTTCTTGATGAGCCTGACTGGTTGGTGATAGAGCCTGAGCTGCCTTAATGTCATTGGCTGCTCTTCTCCACACTCCTCTGGCCGCCTGGGTTTCCTGAAAGGTCCTTGACCTAGGTGAACTCTGGATTGAGGGTTCCTGTACTCTTCTTCCCAGTCTCTGGACCCTGTCTTCTTGTCATACTGGCCTGCATTATCTAGACCCGTGGGCTCTCTGTGTCCGGCCTGCAGTCTGACAGCCTGCTGACCTGCCTGTGGGAGGGTGGAGCTGAGAATGCCCCACGGAGGTTTTGTTTTTCTCCAAAAGCTTTTTTCTTTCTTTTGTCAGATCTGGATCACCAACGGAGGACTGGCTGATATTTTTACTGTGTTTGCAAAGACACAGATTGTTGATTCCAACAACTTGATGAAAGACAAAATGACAGCATTTATAGTAGAAAGAAACTTTGGTGGGATCACTAACGGGAAACCCGAGGATAAGCTGGGCATTCGCGGCTCCAACAGTAAGCGTGCGTGTGTGTGTGTGTGTGAGAGAGAGAGAGAGAAAGAACCCCCTGCCCCATCCAAATATCAAGATAAAATGAAATTTAAATAGTTTAGGTTTTATTTAAGCATGTTAACAATACCAAATTAGGAATGCCACAATGACCCAGTGGCAGATGCAGGTAAGTGCACTGGAAGTGAGCGTCAGGTAAAGACCTGCTAGCCTTCCTGAGGGAGCAATGGTGGGCTAGGTGGGAATTCTCAGGAACCTCCATGTCTCTCCTGTCTGGAACCTCCCCACCCAGGCCCTTGGGTCCTGTAGAACTCCTCCTGTCCCATAAGGAGCTCTTGACCAGCCTAGTGCTGACTCAGGGGTCTACCTCTTGGGTCCTCCAGTTCAGATCAGAGGCATCTGCAGTTCTGCTCCTGACACTTCCTCTTTGGGGATCCTTGTTCTGGGAGGTACTGTTTGCCAACTCAAGTGACTGTGGGGTCAAAGGACTCAGAGTTCTAGTCTGAGCTCTACTTAAAAGCTTAGTTGACTTCTCTGTGCTTTGGTTTCCTCAGCTAAACAGAGGGCCAGTGGAGAGCAATAATAAAACCACTCTGGGTACAGGAGACTGGATGTTCCCATGTGTGTGAAATGCTGAGTGCACCTTTAACAGTGCTAGCTCCTGCCGTTAGTAATGCTTTGATTTTACTCGTGCTGCTGACTGAGTACCTACTCAGAAGGCTCCAGCTGGGGAAGGAGAGTACTCAAAGGCCTTAACCTAAGAAAAGGCTTGGCATGATGGTAGGGAAAAGGTAGGATTGTAGGGAGGAAGCAGGACTGCCATCCATGTACCACTGCAGCAGCACTATCGCTATGGAAGTCTGGGAAAGTGGAACCTCTAGAATTGTGCATTGCAGTGACCCTGGAGGAGAGGGTAGCAGCACAAGATGAGGTCAGGGAGGGAGGTGGGGTCCTCCCCATACCCAGGAACAAGAGTCTTTAGGAGAACAGCCTGCTCCTGTAGCTGATATATTTGAAATAGTAGGATAAAGATTGGCAGACCCAGAGTGTGCTACCTGTCTTGGCTACTCTGGAGCCATGACCTTCTCTATTCTAAGCCTCCCTTTTCTCTTGTGTAAACTCCTGGGAGCTACTGTACTTCAATAACATGCCCAGACAATTTGATAACAGAAAAAGCAGTACTGAAGCCCTTGTTCTTTTGCAGCCTCCAGAACCGCGCCTTCCTCACTGTCCTCAACCTTTGTCACTCTTGGCCCCTGCTAACTGCATTTCATTCATGTTGACTCCTGTTTTTTCAGTATGCCAAGCTCTTCTTCATTTTAAGGCCCATTGGTTATCTACTGCTAAAGTGAAGTCCTGGTGTGGCACTGTAGGATAGGCACTGGACTGCAAGGTCTGTGGTTCAAACCCACCAGTCACTCCTCAGAAACACTATATAGGGTTGCTATAAGTTGGGACCGACTCGATGGCACTTTACAACGGTTGCAGTAATGCTTCATGACAAAGCACTGTAGAGCTTGGCTGATAGCAGTAACACTGTTCTTTCACAGATTGACTGGAGTTAACTGTGGAAGCCTTCTTCAGGCTGTGAGCTGGAGTCAGGGCTGCCCCATGGGTTTTCTTACTTGCTCCCCTTTAATGTCGTGGCAAATGATCTTCTCATGGCAGATAACAGAAGCTCTAAGAGGCCAGACCTTATAAACACATTGATGACCTTTGCTCAGATTGGGTCTGCTGCAAAAGTTACACTGTAAGGGAATGGAATTAATCCAATCTATGGAAAAGGCCCTAGAAAATGCTGCTCCATCTAGCTGAAGTGTTCTGAGGCTTTTTTTTATGACTGACCCCTCCTTATCCTCCAGACTTCTAAAATGTCACCCTGTTGATTTCGTCCATCGCATATCTCAGCACAATAGGTTTGTAGTTTTTCCCCGGACCAGAATAGAGCAGCTCCACGAGGATAGAGCCTTGTTCTCTGCTCTTTCAGCTGCAGATGTCAGATGAGTGCACACATGAGCTACCTGTCATGCACGCAGGTGAAATGTAGAATACTTTGCATCTTTCAGATTCAGTCTTAAATTTCATGTTTCAGCTTGTGAAGTCCATTTTGAAAACACCAAGGTACCCGTTGAAAATGTCCTCGGAGAAGTAGGAGGCGGGTTTAAGGTGAGTTATTGGCAGCAACCCTTTGAGTGCTGGCAATTTCATGGATCTAGCTCATTGGCTCCCAGCTATGTTCTCTCCTGTGTGTGGCAGACCACCCCTCTGAACCTAAGGTTCTGTGTTAGAAAGTGAGGATCTTGACCCTGAAACATTGTTGGGGAAGCATCAGTAGCTTACATCATGCACCCAACTAATCTGAGTTTATATTTATGTCCCTTTCCCCTGAAGACTAAGAATTGATGTGCTCTATTGGAGTAATGTGGCCCAGTGCCTTTCTCAGGGAATAACTCCAAGGATGTTCATGAGAGCTGCCACAGCAGTGATTGAGTCAAGGCAATGGAACTGCACTTACTCCCGGCCCAAAGTCAGGAGCATGATTAACTCAGCCAAGATGCTGGCATGAAGCTCTCCCCAGGCTGGCTTTTTTCAACAAACCTTCTGATAAAAATAAACACTGTCCTGGTCTGTTACCTCTGCTTCCCTCAGTGGCCCTGGGCTTTCTCCAGCCCAGTGAGAGATGGCAGGGCATTTAGGCCACAGTGTACCTCCTGCTTTCCTCGCAGGTGGCCATGAACATCCTCAACAGTGGGCGGTTCAGCATGGGCAGCACTGTAGCTGGAATGCTCAAGAAATTGATTGGTAGGTAAGTTGGGGCAGGAGCAGGACAGTCCTGCCCCTGCCCTACATCATCCTGGGGGGCTTTGCTGTGGTCAGAGCCAGCCCACCTGACAGGCAACCAGCTCAAGTTTGGGATCTGAACTGCAACTGCCCAGGCCTGGTTTAGACCCAAGAATGCTCTCAGTCTGCTCCCAAATGGTTACTCTTCCTGTGTCAATATTCCTGTGTTTACCCACCCACACTGGATTAGGGAAGGGGGTGGAATTCTGTCAGGTAGAAAGGGCCTATGGCTTTGAGCTCTAGAACAGAGCTACTTAGTGAACTTCTGACTGAGCCACACACTAGATAAACATTAGCTCTGATTCTTACAAATTCCTGTTCATCAAAGATCCCCCACTTTGGAGTTGCACAGTGACTGAGAATTGTGAGTCAGATGTGGAACCCAGACCCCTCAACCTCCAGATCTTTTCTTTGATCTTTTCTCTCAAGCTGTCTGACACCTTTTGTTGTGAATTTAAAACAGCCCAACAGCCCTGTTGGGGGTTTGTTTGGCAGAAAAGGTGGCTGTTGCCATCTTAGTTGGAAGTAATTGTAGGGAAATGCAGCTGGCAGGGCCATATTGGGGGTCGGGGTTTGCACTGGGAACAGCATCCTCTGAGTGCCTTTATAAAGCCCCTTCTTGGTAACAGATTATGGCAACACCTCTCAGAGTTCAGGGCGAGGTGAAGACATGAAGTATACATGAAGTGGTATAGTGGGTTATGCATTAGGCAGTTAACTCCAGAGTCGGCAGTTCAAATCCACCAGCCGCTCTGCAGGAGACAGGTGAGGTCCTCTGTTCTCGTAGAGATTTACAGCCTTGGAAAACCCTCTAAGTCAGACCCAATTCAATGGCATACAACAGCCCTCATTTTATAGGTGAATAAGCTGAGGCTCAGAGAGAGAGAGATTTTTGCCCAAGGCAAAAACGAGCCTAAAATGTACCTAAGCCTAAAGGCCAAGCTTGTCAGGTACCTTGCTCAGTATTCTTGCTTTGTTGTACTGCTCACAGGGCCTGACCTCTCTGGGTAACGCTCTTCGGTTCCAGAGTTTGGTGGGCATTAGTGGTCAGCCTGCCTCCCACAGGCTGCAGGACCTTTACTGAGTGTGTGGAACTTGGGTAATTGCCCACCCCATCAGCCTACACAGTCTGTGTTTACACACTGGCAGCTCTGTTTTGGGGATGAAATCCAGTGACAGATAAGCACCTGCTTCTGCTTCTAGCTAGGGCATTTCTCTGCCTCAGCTTTGTGCTAGGTTCTTAGCTTCTGTCCGCTGCCATTTTCACCACAATGCTGGCAATCGGTGTGTTGTCCCCATTTTGCAAAGGCACAGAGGGGTGGATTGAGCAGCTTAACATGTCAGGAATCGAATCTGTGGCTGACCCCACACTCTGAGAGCTCTTCCTGCTCCACGGCACAGCTCTGTGCACACAGACCAGGGAGTGCACGGTCCCTGGACCTCTAAGCTGGGGCGGGGGGCCCCTGTCTCCTTGACGGCATTCGGCAATCATGTGAAAACTGGAACTTTTTACCTCTGTTCTTCAGAGATGACCGCTGCATATGCCTGCACAAGGAAACAGTTCAACAAGAATCTCAGTGAATTTGGATTAATTCAGGTATGGGGGAGTTATGAGAGCCATGCTTGCTTCTCTGGTGTCTGTCCTGGTGACTGCTCACCATGCAGTGACCTGGGAGAAGCACTGGATAAGGGGATGTTCCTTGTGAGTCACTTGGATTAAAAATGCCTGGGCTTGGTTCTCCTGGTGGGTGAGCCTTCTGGTTTAATGACCTGCTCTCCTGGGCGTTTTTGGGTTGCTGCATGCTCAGGTAGCTTCTTGACTGTGTTTTTTGAACTCTCCAGGAAAAGTTTGCCCTGATGGCTCAGAAGGCTTATGTAATGGAAAGTATGGCCTACCTCACTTCAGGGCTACTAGACCGGCCGGGCCTTCCCGACTGTTCCCTCGAGAGTGCCGTAGTCAAGGTAAACCCAGCATAACCAGAGAGCCAACATCTGAGATTTTTTTTTTAATGTTTTATTGAGAATTATGTGATTGTTTACATGGGAGAACCTTAGCTTTATATTCATCCTATCATATGTTGTTTCATTGCCATGGTTAAAATCCCATCCATGCATCATCAGCCAACCAAAGTGTATACCCTGCAAGCCTGTCCCCTGGTCATCGGCACACATTCCCTCACCCTTTCTGGGTCTAGAGTCCCCAGCTGCTCCGTCTCTCCATGTCATCATCTCTGGCTCCATTTCTGGTGTCACTGCTTCTCTGGGTAGGGTCCCGCACTCCACTCTTCTTCCTTAGTAGTCCCAGGGACCTCCATTCCTGGACCCCTCCTTTTGCTACAAAACGTCTACCTTTACATTTCCAACCCTCACAGTCAGTCCTGATAACAATCACTATTGTATCACAAGAGACCCATCCCCATCTCTTTTCACCAGCCCCGCCCAAGCAGATTGGCTACTACTCAGTAGAGATTCTACCTTCCTCCGTGCTATCTGTATCTAGGCTCCCTCTTAAAAGCTTGCTTGTAAGCCAGTCACTTCTTGACTTTGTAGCCCCCTATTTTGGGTAGCCAATATCCCAAGTTTCCCATCCCTGTCTACCCTGTGTATCGAGGGGGTGGGAATGATCTTCGCTGTAAAGATATGTTCCCTCTTTTGAGCTACTGCATTCATAGGTGTAGGTCAAGTTCATCAAATTGTTTCAGGTTACTCTTTTTTTCCGCTTCTTTCTTCTCCTAATTGAGTTCTGATGATCCAGTCATTGAAGCCAGGTCAAGTGGGTATTATCTGCAAGTGTGGGTGTTCTTGTGCATATGCCCTCACTTCTTATTAACTGGACGCTTCACTCTCCACTCTAGTCCTCTGTGACTGTCACCGACTCTGAGCCCAAAAGTCCCCAGGTCTTGCCACACCACTGGCCAACCAGGTCTCCACCCGGGTTCACAGGAGTCTGTTGAATGTGGTAGGGCTTAGCTTGCTGCTTCATTGCTGTTTTTCCCTCACTTCCCCTTATTGGTGACCAACATGGTCACCAGTCGGAGCGCATGTCTGCTCGTTTATTCCCATTGAGTCTTAGTCTTGGAAGGGGGTTTGCCCTGAGGGGACCCAAGCACTAGCCTTGATATATCCTGGGTGAGCAACTTGCTTGTTCTTGTAGTAATCAGTCGGTATGACCTATATTATTTTGTATTTTTCCTGTCGGTCTCTCTTTCAAAGAAGTATCTTCTGGTCTTCTAGCCACTCCAGGCTGGTCTGCTTGTCCTTCCAAGTGGAAATTTCCCACCTCAGAAGATTCTGGATGGGGTTCAGAATTCCACCTATGGTCTTATGCAATGCAGAGGCTCCACAGGAAGCCCCCCTCACTTGGCACATTGTAGCCCCATTTTAGGTATTCCAATCAGTTATAGTCAGAAGACGGATTTACAAGCTTTCTATGGTGATATTTCTGGCTATTCCTTTCTCTCCCCCTCAAGTGGCTATTTTATAATGGTATGCAAGGGAAACCAAGATTCAAAAGACAGCCAAGCATCTTAACATTATTTCTCCCCTTTTGCCCATTCTAACCATGTCTCAATCCCTGTATCCCAGAGCCCTGTTGTTCCAAGGTTGTGCATACATCAAGGTTGTGCATACATCATTATTTACCTCTGTCCCACTTAGCCCATGCAAACCTGCCTAATTGTTTTCCCATCCGCTTTGTTCTTCCATTCCCCTTCCTTTCTTGTGTATTGCCCCTTTCACCAGCACCCAAACTATCATGTGTCTTTCCCTACCTGTGCTCCACCTTCCCCTCCCTCCCCTTATCCCACCCCTCACATCCTGGTAACCAGCAAAGAATCCTCCCCACCTTTTAATTGGGTTCTTTTCTTAGTCTTTTACAATAGTGGTCCTATGCAGTATTTTTCCTTTTGTGACTGACTAATTTCACTCAACAGAATGTCCTCAAGATTCATTCATATTATGTGGTGGCTTGCAGCCTACTTGTTATTCTTCAAGGTAGCATAATATTCCATTGTCTGTATGTACCACAGTTTGTTTATCCATTCTTCAGTTGATGGGCACTTAGGCTGTCTCCATCTTTTTGCTATTGTAACTAGTGCTGCTTTGAACATTGGAGTGCATATATCTACTCGTGTTATGGCTCATATTTCCTGTGGGTAAATACGAAGTAGAGGAATTGTTGGATCAGAAGGTTTCTATTTCCAACCTTCTGAGGAAGCGCCTTATTGCTTTCCAGAGAGGTTGGACCATTTTGCAGTCCCACCAGCAATGCACATCCCCGCCAGCATTTATTGTCCTCTACTTTTTTGATCTTTGCTGTTACTACTGGTGTGAGATGTTATCTCGTTGTTTTGATTTGCATCTCTCTGATGGCTAGTGATTGTGAAGTGTCTGTTCATGTCCTGTGTCCACTTTTTAATTGGGTTATTTGTCTTTTTCTTGTAGATGTGTTGTCATTTCCTATACATTTTAGAAATTAGTCCCTTGTCTGATACATTGTTGCAAAAGATTTTTCCCATTCTGTGGGTTCCCATTTTAATCTTTTGGTGAAGTCTTTTGATTCACCTTGTTTTTAATTTTTAGTATGTCCCACTCATCTATTTTGTCTACTTTTGTTTGTGTAATGTTCACAATGTTTGGTAGTCTGTGTTAGAGCCCTCAAATTTGTCCCTATTTTTCCACTGATGGCCCTTGAATTCTGGAATTCACACTTAGGTGTTTAATCCATGCTGAGCTGGTTTTTGTATGAGGTATGAGGTAAAAGTCTTGCTTCAGCCTTTTGCATATCACATTCCAGTTCTGCCAGCACCATCTGTTGAAGGGACTATCTCCTCCCCATGCAGTATACTTAGGCCCTTGGTCAAAAATCAGTTGGCTATAGTGGATGGGTTAATTTCTGGATTCATGCTCTTATTTTTTAATTGTTGTTAACTTGTTTTGTTTTCATTCTGTAATTTTTAATCTAGTTCTGTCTTTGTGTGTCTGTTGTAAATGATTCTGTGTGTTCTTATTCCTCACATTAGATAGAAGACATGACTTAATGAAATGAATGAAGAATCAGACTCCCAGCTCATTCTTCTCAGTTCTAACTCAGCTCCCTTATTGATTGACCTAAATCAAGGTCAAGTAATTATATTTTTTTATATCAGACCTCTTTCACTCTCCAGCTCTACCAACTCATTTGTAAAATGGGGTTTAATACTACTTTGTCATAGTGGGCTATGAGTTGTGCTGCTAATTGCAAAGTTAGCAGTTTCAATCTGTTGGCCACTCTGTGGGAGAAAGATGAAGCTTTCTGCTCCCACAAAGGTTTACAGCCTTGGAACCCTGGTAGAGGGTCGCTATGAGTTGGAATCAACTTGACGCACACCACCATCATCACCACAACCACCTTGTACACTACCTTGTACTGCACCTAGCCACAATATATAAAGATTCAATAAATCAGCAATCACAGCGCTAAGTGCTTAGTAAGTTCTCATTTTTACTTGTTTCTTCCCTTCTGCCTTAAGTCAGTCTGAAGATTTTAGATTTGTCTAACCAATTTTTCTGCCTAGTAATGCATTTTCAGACAAGACATTAATCCTTTTCATCTTGTTCCTCCACCACCATGTTTTCGTCACCTTACTTCTTATCACTGAATCTGTTTTATAAACTATACAATGTTGAAATCAGTACAAAATATGCATTTGTTATGAAGATTCGATGAACTAACAATGCATTCTCCTTCTACTCTACCTACCTACATTTCAGACTCTAGCAATTCAAATGTGTGAAAAACAATTCTGATGCTCACAAAGGAGTTTTTCAGCTTAAACTTGGTCTTAATATGAGGGTTTTCAGACTCTTGGGAGAGCTGAAATATTAACCAAATAATACCAAAAGCCAAAATAACCTATGCTCAAGGCCAGATTAAGGCATGTAAAGGTCCTAAGAACAATCTCTGGTGCCCCAGCTGCTGCTTAATCACATATTCTAATGGATGGATATGTGAGTCAAATACGTTGTTGTCTATGTTTGAGCTGCAAATATATGACCATGACCCATTGCTTTCCTAGTCCTCTCTGTTCATCTGGATTTAATGATCGGCTGTAGTGGCCACACAGAACTCAGCCATGGTACTCACAGATATGGGCTTTATTAAGGACATTAACAGGTTACAATTCAGGGTCAGAACGGTTCCAGGCACAGTTGTCTTATTCAGGACAGCCTCTCTGTGCCTGGCTAATGTTACAGAGCTCTTGGGTTGCTGTTGTTAAATGCTGTCCAGTCAGGTCTGACTCACAGTGACCGTGGATAGGGTTTCTGAGGAATGGCTGTTCAGTTTCAACTGCCAATCTCACAGTTCAAACTGACTTTGCTGTCCAATTCTAATCTTACAGCGCCACAACGGGACTCCTAAAGCTCTCATAGGGCTGCTGATATATGCCCATAGGACACACCACTCCACCATAAGCCTCAGCATGAAGGCACTTGGCTCTAGCTCTGTGGGTCAACAAACCTAGCTCCTCAATTAAGTGCTTGGAGGCATCTCACTCTGGGAGTGAGCCTCCTGCCCAGTCTCGCCGTTTTACTTACTTTGTGGGCTGGGAAGCCCACTGCTCTGTCTCACACTCTGGCTCTTTGTTCTGCTGCTGCTGCTCCTGTATCATTCCTCTGGTGTCACTGGATTGAGGAGGGTCAATGTATAGGGATCCTGGCATCCAAAGAATGTGTTTCTTTAATGGTACTGAAATCCCCCTCCTGCTTCTGAGATGGCTCATTTTATGCACGTGTTAGAGTATCAAGTTTTTACAATTACCCTGATCTCTGATAACCTCCACAGCTGAATCATGCCATCTAACCAGGATCTCACCTACTCTTACCCGGACCAATGAGGAAAAGAGGCTTGTGGTGGAAGGTACAAAGACTAAGATTAGAAGAGACAAGTCATTCACACACCACAGAGCCCGTTATTACTGCCACTGTATCAATCCATCTCATTAGGGGACTTCCTCTCTTTCACTGACCTCCACTTTGAAAACTAGACATTCACCAATTTTAGTTTAAACAGCTTCAAATTTGATACTTGTTTGTAATAAATGCTATAATTATAGTTGAACAAATGAAAAGATATCAGAAAAGAAAATTGAATGATCAAAACCCAAACATTACAATAAAGTATTATATTTAATTTTTAGATAGATAAATCTTTTTCAGGTAGTTCCAGTACTTCTCTTCCCTCAAAACCATTTCCTAGTTCTGCCTCTTCGCCATTTGTTTGCGCTATTCGGTCTTGTTTTTTCATGTGAACTGCGATTGTTGTTTTTGATGCACTGTGGTGTTGTATTTGTTGATGAATATATGTTGGCGTATTCTTAGGCATTCACAAACTGCCCTCTGTTAGATGGGATTGAGAGGTGAACTTTTGCACTGTTCTGTGTGTTGTGTGTATAGTTCACTTCAGGGTGAATGGAG